AATATTTAACAGATCATTTAATGTAATATGTTTTCAGTTATCGGAAACTGGGATTATATCAAAAGCAGATAAAAGTCTTTTACTTATCTTTAAACTTTTATAGGACTCTATTGCGAAAAAGTGTTAGCGAAGTCGAGACTCTAATGTTACTTCCAACATCCATTATATTATTAAGATTTGTGTTTTATATTAGTATACAGTATTAGTATTCAACAATATTACAGCAAAGCAACCAAAGAGTCCAATTATCATAACAATACTTGGGTAACATGTATTAAAACCCAATTTAACGACTATGGGGAATAAACCAGTGTTATACTAGAAGCAATTAACTAATTTAGTCAAAGCAACACTGAGACAAACTGAATAACCCACTCTTGCTAGTTCATTAGCGAAGAAATATTGGAAACACTATTTATGTTTGACTGTTAAGTTTTGTGAGGTTAAGTTTGTTTATATTATAGTTTATTCATCACACACTTAGACAAGGAAAGAAAGAGGACGCGTAACCGTATCGCTAAAAGTGAAGCCAAACTGCCACCGAGAAAGTGGTCAGCGGTGTATCTTTGTATTTTTAAGGATTGACTAATTCGTATTTAAAATGAAGCATTTTTGTACATTAAACGTTTTATTTAATTTATTTTATTTTATACAAATATTTTGGTATCAAAATTAACGAAATTTATTAATTTATTTAATTATTTATGGAATTTTATGGAATATTTTATGGAATTTTAACCCTCAACGCCCACTGCCACTGGCAAATCATTTAAAGTGGTTTTGTGGTTTAAAATTGCAATAAAAAGTAAAATCAATTAATACCTAATTGCGCTATTATAAATATTTACCTATGAAACGATACTCCTGGTGTTTTCTGCTCGCTCCGATTTTTACAAAGAATACATGCACAATTCACCATTTAGTAAAGTAAAAAAATAGTTATTTAATTCACTTCTTTTAAAAAACCACAAAAAAAAACTGGTGTCAGGTTTTTTGTTTGCCACCAAAAAAAATCGCGGACACATCAAAAAGTGGTACCACTTTTTGAAGGTTGGTTGAACTAGCGTTACCCATACTCTTTCTTTCCTTGTCTAAGATCACACACACAAACACACACACACACACATACACACAATTTATGGCAAACTTGTTGTTTTAATCAAAAACTTTATTAAAGTATCAAGTATAGTGAAAGTGCTCTAAAAATGATTTCACGTGGTCAATTGATGTGTATTCTTGCAACTAAACAAGTAGACAAAACTGAGACTATAACAGGTAAGCATTTTCCTCTTTAAGATAAAGATTTTGTTTTAAATAAAATGTTGACCGTGTAACAATGATTCTTTCTTTTCAGAAAATTCGAATATCACTATTAAAAATGATGACGTAGTTACAACTAAAAGATTGATTTCTCATACAAACGCTTCACTGAACTTGGGACAATACAGGCTTGGTGATGAGGTGCAAGAAATATTGAATTTCAGAAGTTTAGGTACTAATGAGGTTTTTATTATTACTTTTATTCATTCATTTCATTCTGTGTTCTTTATTACTGGTAGTTATGACATATGGAATTGATAAAGCATAGTGATTTTCTTTCAGATGACACTCCAACTCATGATGGAGATTTTGAGCCCTTTTATTTAGACTCAGATTATGTACCAGACGCTGATGAAGGTATTCCTGCTACTTCTCATACATTAATAAACTATAATAATGGTGATTTAGACTTAGATTATTAACAGACACTAATGAATATGTTCCTGTAATTACTCGCACGTTAATAAACTGTGAAAATGGTGATAAAGTGTTAACTATCCTTAGTCGTAAGAAACAACGCAATAAAAATAAATGGAAAAAAATTAAAAGAAAAAGGTCCAGCAATACAAAGAGAAGTTAAGTTTCTTTAAACCAAAAATAGTTTTATTAATTTTTGTACACCGTATCAAAATATGGATGTGCAGCAACGTTCATTGAAAAAAGTAGAATATGAACGTCATAAATCAGATAGTGCTTTGGCAAGGTAGAAAAAAAAACGAAACAAAACTATAGAAGTCAACATATTTGTAGCTATTTTGATTTAGGGAGGGTGTTCTTCCTTGTGAAAATACATCTGCCTTTTTTTATAAATCAAAGTTGACTGTATACAACTTTACCATTTTTAATGCTTTAACACATCAGGGCCATTGCTTATTTTGGAACGAGATTATGGGCAAGAGAGGGGCAATATAAATTTATACATGTTTATATAAATATTTAAAACACCATTGCGTAGGAAAAGACGTCATTTTCTGGAGTGATACCTGCACTGCTCAAAATAAAAATAAATATCTCTTGTGCATGTATATTTTCATTGTGTACATTGCAGGTGAAAAGCATTACACACAAGTACTTAATTACAGGCCATAAACCAAAATAAAGGGGCCCGATGCATGCCTGCATTGAACGAGAGAAGACAAGACTGCTAAAACAAGGTCCCATGTATGTTTCCACGGAGTTGGTGTCTGTAATAAAGTTAGCCAAGAAAAAAGGTTCACCATACAATATTACTGAACTAGAAACAACAGGCTTTTTGGACTGGAAATTGCTGTCAGAAAGCATTGAAAAAAACTTTAGTATTGGTAGTACACTAGGTACCTGACTGTATCATGCCAATGATCATAGTTGTCGAGGCATTAACTCAATAAAAAAAAATATATTTACCTATGAAACGATATTCCTGGTGTTTTCTGCTCGCTGCGATTTTTACAAAGAATATATGCACAATTCACCATTTAGTTAAGTAAAAAAAAATAGGTATTTAATTCACTTCTTTTAAAAACCACAAAAACAAAACTGGTGTCAGGTTTTTTGTTTGCCACCAAAAAAATGGCGGACACATCAAAGTTGGTTGAACTAGCGTTATCCATACTCTTTCTTTCCTTGTCTAAGATCTCACACACACAATTTATGGCACACTTGTTGTTTTAATCAAAAACTTTATTAAAGTATCAAGTATAGTGAAAGTGCTCTAAAAATTATTTCACGTGGTCAATTGATGTGTATTCTTGCAACTAAACAAGTAGACAAAACTGAGACTATAACAGGTAAGCATTTTCCTTTTTAAGATAAAGTTTTTGTTTTAAATAAAATTGGGACAATACAGGCTTGCTGATGAGGTGCAAGAAATATTGAATTTCAGAAGTTTAGGTACTAATGAGGTTTTTATTATTACTTTCATTCAGATAAATTCCATTCTGTGTTCTTTATTACTGGTAATTATGACATATTGAATTGATAAAGTATAGTCAATTTCTTTTAGATGACAGTCCAGCTCATGATAGAGATTTTGAGCCCTTTTTTGAAAAGAAAAAGGTCCAGCAATACAAAGAGAAAGGAAAACTTTAGATATTATTTGAAGTTGATAGACAAAAGGTGAGAGTTTGCAAGTTAAGTTTCTTCAAACCAAAAATAGATTTATTAATTTTTGTACACAGTAACAAAATATGAATGAGCAGCAACGTTTATTGAAAAAGGTAGAATATGAACGTCATAAATCAGATAGTGCTTTGGCAAGGTAGAAAAAAAAACGAAACAAAACAATAGAAGTCAACATATTTGTAGCTATTTTTGATTTAGGGAGGGAGTTCCAACTTCCTTGTGAAAATACATCAGCCTTTTTTTTATAAATCAAAGTTGAATGTATACAACTTTACCATTTTTAATGCTTTAACACATCAGGGCCATTGCTTATTTTGGAACGAGGGTATGGGCAAGAGAGGGGCAATATAAATTTATACATGTTTATATAAATATTTAAAACACCATTGCGTAGGAAAAGACGTCATTTTCTGGAGTGATACCTGCACTGCTCAAAATAAAAATAAATATCTCTTGTGCATGTATATTTTCATTGTGTACATTGCAGGTAAAAAGCATTATATAAAAGTATTTAATTACAGGCCATAAACAAAATAAAGAGGACTCGATGTATGTCTGCGTTGAAAGAGAGAAGACAAGACTGCTAAAACAAGGTCCCATGTATGTTTCCACGGAGTTGGTGTCTATAATAAAGTTAGTCAAGAAAAAAGGTTCACCATACAATATTACTGAACTAGAAACAGGAGGCTTCTTGGACTGGAAACTGCTGTCAGAAAGCATTGAAAAAAACTTTAGTATTGGTAATACAGTATCAAAATGTGTGTAGAACAGCATTAAAGCTATAAAAATAACTGCTGACAACCCCTACAACATTTTTTACAAAACAAGCTTTTCTGACCAACACTTTGAAGAACTCAATGTAAAATACAAAATGCTTGGTCGCAGAACTAATTGCGATAATTTAAATTACAGCCAGCCTACACTGCCGCTCCTTCAATCCCTGAAAATGAAAAAAAAATTATTTGTTGGAATTATGCAGACCCAGAGCAATCCCAGAACGACATCACCTTTTTTTTTGAGAATTTGAAGTAAATTTTATCATATATTTTAGTAGTTTATTTTAGAAATTAAGTTTTTGTATTTGAAGTTGTAAAAATGAAACATCTCTGCTAAATAACATTTTGTTTACTCATACTAGTACCTATAAAAAATGAGACATTGTGAATATTAGCTTAACCCAGACTACCTATGTTAATGCAACAGTGGGATATTTTACAAAAACTTGTTTTTTTCTATTTTACAGATAAAATTGTTAGAAAATTACCATTAAATCTTTTTATTCAATAAAAATAAGCTTTTAGTCACCTATTTCTAATTTTTAATAAGACAGGAAATCTTTAATCCTTATTATCGTGTAATTTCAATTTGACATGATATCTCACTGTTACTTTCAGCCATCGATAGGTATGTATTATCACTTATTCGGCATTCATATCACATGGAAAACACAATCGACTGCAAACCCATAACGAAACCAAATCATCATTATACGTTCCAAGTCATATACTACTTTTCCTGTGCTATAAGCACATATACAATTATTTTTACCAATTTAAAGTTCAGTTAAGTCAGTTCCAGTTAGCCCGACAGTTCTTTCACAGTTTCAACATCAGCAACATACTGCGTTTTAGTTCGCGGTTTTGAGCATTTCTTATTTTTATTTATATTGGCGTAGCGAATTGTTGTGAGGTTAGAGGTTAGTGATGTCTTGCTAGATCAAGTTTAAATAATATAGTAAACATTTAATAAATTAGAATATAATTATTCTAATGAGTGGTTGTAAATAGTTTAGTGGTGATTAGTATAAAGAAACATTTGTAGGTGTGAAGTTTATAAAACAAGAATATATACAGAAAACAGGTAGGAATATTCTTAATTTTTATTTGTAGCTGCTTCATTTTTTTTTTATTTTTGTAATCTATTGAAGTTCTAAAGATGTTTTAATAAAAACTGTTATGCTGAATTATTTATAAATAGAATGCTTTAGAAAATAAAGAAAAAATAGGTTCAAGATTAATTATTTATCAAATGATCTAGAATTCCTCATAAAGTGCCGTGTCTAACGGAAGTTATCCATAAATTCTGCAAATTTAGCTCTATTCTGGGCTTTTCTTATTTAGGTCCGTAGTTCGTTTCCAGGTATTATAACGAGCTACTTTTCAACGTCCAGGCTTGTATGCCATGTAGACGGATATTGTCTACATAGAATTTTATCATGCGATATTGGAGAGTTAGATCAAGATCTCGGTTGATGAAAAACTTTCTTTTCGGTTGGTGTTTTGATTGAATTTCTAGCCAGTTCTGTTCTATATTTGACTTCTTGTTCTGAGCGTACGGTCTCATGAATCTAGCATCTCAGATATTTAAACTTTTTAACTTATTCGATTAGTTTGTTATTTAATATATGTTTGTATTTGGATTATTCTTTTTCATAAGTAACATTGTTCTTGTTTTCTTATATTATTTTCTGGGTAAATAGTCGGAATAGAACCTATTGGCGATTTCAATAAAAGGAGAAGGAAAATAATTATTAAAAAATTCCAAGACTTAAACTAATAGCGAACAAACTTATGAAACAACAAAGTTTCATATGAATAGAATACCAAAGTTCTCACTCCCACTAAACAAAAGGATCAACTTCTACTGTCTTTTAGATGATCAACTCTGTACTATCAAACATTGTGTATGAGCCATACATACTGTAAGAAATACTAGGGAAAATGTCTAATAACTGTTTAGTTAAAGAACAAAACACTCCTACAAATCGAAATCTAGCATATATAAGCTTGATCTACAACAAAGGAGACATGAAAGTATGCGGTAATTATAGAGGCATTTGTAGGTGTGAAGTTTATAAAACAAGAATATATACAGAAAACAGGTAGGAATATTCTTAATTTTTATTTGTAGCTGCTTCATTTTTTTTTATTTTTGTAATCTATTGAAGTTCTAAAGATGTTTTAATAAAAACTGTTATGCTGAATTATTTATAAATAGAATGCTTTAGAGCATAGTCACTGTCTAGTTGGACCCAAAAAGGTCTTGTATGGTCAATATTTTTACTCTACGCGTTGTTGTAACAGTGTTGCTGCTTATCTTGTCTTCATCCATCTCAAAGAAACTAATGACCCATTGCCTTTTAAACCATTATTTAAAGGTTTAACGAGGACAAAGTTAAGAAAAACCTATATCAGAGCTCCATACAGTATCTATAAGAATTCACACAATGTCGTAAAGAAGAAAAATACCTTTTCAGAACTATTTTCAGTAACAAAGAAACTGCCTATCCTCGACAAAAAATTTGACAGATTTGACGACAAAAATTTGATTTTTCTGGGAGATTTTCTTTAAAATTCTTCTTCCGCTTCTTCCTTCTTGTATATAGGCTTTAAAGCCTGTTTCCTTTTTAATATTAGCCTCCCAAATTGTTTAAATTGTCGCGCACCGTCTTTTTCTTGGTCTGCCAATACTTCTTTGTCCATTTGGTGACTCATCTCGTGCTATTCGTACTATCCTATCCTCTGCCATTCTACTAATGTGTTCGTTTCACTCCTGTTTCCGTTTTGTCACTTATCCATTTATGTCTTCTATATTACATGCTCTTTTTATGTTTTCACTTCTCTCGCTATCCAACAGACTTCTCCCCAATATTCGTCGGAGTTTCTAGTAGTCTTCTCGTTTTAGATCTATCAGGTCTCGTCTCCGCCATGTATGTTAATATAGGTCTAATTGCTGCTTTATAGATTCTTGTTTTTGCGTCTTGTTTTAGGTGTTTGTTCTTCCAGATTGTGTCATTATTGTGTCATATTTTATTTCTTGGCTTCTGTGTTAAAGATGTGTGTTAATCTTTTAGCTCGTATTCTGTCTCGGCAAAATATCCCTGACGATTGGAATATTGGATATATCAGCTCAATATTCAAGAAAGGGGATAAACGCAAATGCTCTAATTATAGGGGAATAACTATTACCAGCTCAGTGGGGAGGTTGTACGGTCGAATAATAAAAGAAAAAATAGAATCAGAATACAAAGACATAGAAGAACAAAATGGATTTCGTGCAGGAAGATCGTGCACTGATGGTATAATCGTTCTGCAGCAGGTAATCGAAAAACGGAAGGCAAGGAATCTATCTACCCACCTACTGTTTGTAGATTGAGAGAAGACATACAATACAGTACCTTTGAAAAAACTGTTTCAAACATTGACGAAAGTAGGTCTTAGTAGAAAGTAATGCTATCGCAAATATATACAAAAATGTCGTTAAAGAAGGAAACTTTATATCTGAATCATTTCCAATAACAAAGGGGCTTAAACAAGGATGTTGTCTATCTTCGACCGTATTTAAAATATACATTCAATCATCGCTAGAGCAGTGGAAGAAACAAGTATCCGGAATGGGTATAGACATGGGCGATGGTAAATGTCTAACAACTTTATTTTTCGCAGATGATCAGGTAGTCATAGCGAATGATGAGGAAGACATGGACTACATGTTTAAAAAACTAAAGAAAGAATATGAAAAATGGGGCCTCAATATGAATATGTCAAAGACAGAGTATCTTAAAATTGGAGATGACGAAGAAGATCCAGAGTTAAAAATTAGAAACACAAAAACATGCAACGAATATAAATATCTCGGATCTATAATATCTAAGGAAGGCACTACCAAAAGAGACATCGAAAACAGGACGCAGCAGGTAAAAAAGCGGTTAACATTCTGAACTCTCTACTATGGTCTAAAGATATTAGACAGGAAACAAAATTGACAATCTATCGAACCTTGGTAGAGCCTATTATGACTTATGGGGCAGAAGTTTGGCAGATCACGAAAAAAGATAGAAAAAGAATAGAAGTAATAGAAATGGATTTTCTAAGAAGAGCTTGTGGTTTATCCAAAAAAGATCATATCAGGAATGAAGATATTAGAAGGAGGACAAATACGGTATATTCCAGTGTAGACAGAATTGAAACGAGACAACTAGTGTGGTATGGTCATGTAAATGAATGAATGAAGACGAATCAAAGAAGACGAATAGATGGACAGAGAACGATGGCGGTCGAAATGCGAGAAGCGGCAGAGTCTGTAGGAACCTCGCAGATTATATATATATATATATATATATATATATATAATATATATATATATATATATATATATATAGCTTTTAGGTTTATTGGGATTTTTCAGCAGTGAAATAAGTGTACCCTTTTAACTAAGTTTCAAGCTTTCGAAAATGTTTATTTTCATCATCAGGAAAAACTGAAAATAAAGTACTGTTAGTAAAGCATGCTCGAAATCTATTAAGTGAGAAAATTATATAAAGATAAGGAACACTTACGTTATTGAGGTTTATCTTTCGTGGATGTTCTACTTACAGGTGACAATTTCACGCACCACTCATTGATTGAGTCAATAATTAAAATATATAAAAATTGCATGGTGTAAAAGACCAAACTTGACAATTTAATTTACTTTAACACATAAGATAAAGAATTACAAAAGTTAAAATGGCCACGTGTGCCGGCCAACTGTAGAATGTTAGGTTAAGAGTACCTGTCATTCCTGGACATGGCAAATGACAGTACTTCTTCTTATTTCTTTGTCTTATGTAGTACTAATTACACATCAAATTGTTAACAAAATTAGTGTTAGGAGTAAATAGTGCTTAACTGATTAATGTTACTCCTTTTGTTCATTGCGTTTGAATTTTGAGCAATGAATGCCATTTCTAAGAAAAGTCTTTTTTTGTAATTGGATTCAGTAGCTAAAATTTTTACTGATTCATAATTCGTTATATGATGTTCTTGTGACTGATTAAGCGACCACCTAGGTTACGTGTGGTTTGTCCCACATATACCAAATTACAGTTGTTACAAGGGATCTGGTAAACTACGTTCAAACAATCTTTGATGCTGCTTTTGTCTTTAACTTTAGAAAATATAGATCTTGCCGTTAATGAAGTTTTGAAGGCTATTTTTAAATTGGTGAAATCTTTAAAAAGTCTTAAAAGTCTGGGTGTTATGCCTTTTATGTATTTTAGTGAAGTGTAAGAGCAATCGGCATTTTGTTCTCCGCTTGTGACAATGTTTTGCACCTCATCATTCTGGCGTGCTATGTTAGGGGTCAAACTGAATAAAATCTTGGTAACTAGGTGTTTTGGGTATGAATTGTCGATGAAGAGGTTTGATAGGATTCTTAGGTTCTTCTGATGGAAAGAATGATCACTGATAGCTATAATTCTAGCTTTCATTTGCTTAAGCAAATTGATTTTTATTGAATGTCTATGGTATGACCAATAGTTGAGGAAACGTCCAGAACTATGAGGTTTTCTATGCCAGTCAATAATCAGGGAGTTGTTGTGGGTTCTAATAAACCAGGTATCAAGAAAGGGGACTGAGCATAGATCATCCTCATGTTCGATTGTGAACTGTAGTAGAGGATCATAACTATTGAATACATTTAGGATTTCTGTGGATCCATTGTTAGGGATAGCTAGGATTAGGTCATCCACATACTATTTTACAATATATAATATAATTATATATATATATATATATATATATATATATATATATATGTATATATATATATATATATATATAATATATATATATATATATATATATATATATATATATATATATTCTGTCTCGGCGATTAATGCGGCGTCGTTTGCATAACATAATATTTGGATTT